GGGGGAAAAGGCAAAGACTGCCCAAGACAAATTAAGTTGAAAAAAAAAAAAAAAAAAAAAAAAGGAGAAAAGAAGCAGTAAGTTGGAAAAGGGAGCTATAAAGTCAGGTCAGCTGGATCGGAGTCGCTGTTTTAGGTAGCAGGGTGGCTGTAGGAGAAAACCTGCGGCGAGGCCCTGCATGCATACAGATGATCTGGCTGTAACAGCTCTCCGGCAGTTATTCATCAAGCCATTAAAAGGAGCACAAACAAGTCATTTGGGAGCCCTGTGTGTTCCAGACAGTTTTTCTTCTCTTTGTGTCAAGATTTTTTTTTTCTTTACTGGGGGGGGAGGGGGCAAGGAAGAGAAGGAGAATACAGATCGAAGAATAAATCCGAGGCGATGAAAAGGGAGAAAACGGTTAGACCTGGGCAGCGAGCTGAGGCCAGCTGTTGGTCTGCCTCCCGAGCAGAAAAGAAGTTAATTAACTGCGGAAGTGGCTCACGCTGGGACTAATTCACTTCAAGGACAGGCTGATAAATGAGCGAACATTAAAATTCAGCCTACCTGGGTTGGAATTCCCAGAGTGTCAGCCTTTCTGGTATTATCACAAAGTGCTGGAGGTGTTTAGCTTTATTTTAAGAGACAAGAGTGCCCTCTTGTGTTAACATTCATGTAAGCGAGTGAGAAGAAAAAAAAAAACAAAAACAAACCTTGAAGACATTTTTTATTACCATTCATATACACATATAATTCTTTATCTTGCCATGAAGCATCAGAATCACGATTTTAACAATAGACAAAGAAAAAAAGATAAACATTATGGATTCTTCTTCTTAGAAAATATACAGTTAAAGACATGTCTACGTGCCAGGATTTTCAGCAGTATAATTTCATTGTACATATAAAGAAAAGCAGCAGAATGTTGTTAAACATTTCGTCAAAAGGAAAAGAAGACCAGTACACGTCTCCACGATGCCCTCACACAGAGTAAGATACACTACAGCTAATCACGAGTAGTGTTAGGCGGAGCAGTCAGTGGACGTGGGTTACCATAGCAACACTGTTCCAGTTTTTTACAGTAGCACGGATTACATGAAACACCACTGGTGTGTTTATGAAACACATCAACACTAAAAGTAAGAAACTGTTCTTTTTCTTCTTTTTTTTAAATCACAAACACTATAAAATCTTTGCAACATTACGCTGATGGTTTGGATCTTCAGGATATGTTTAGCATGTAAAGAACCAGGCGGGACAGCGAAGAACGGGTGGCAGTGCAAAAGTATTCCCACCTCTTATACTTTTTTATTGTCGTTGTATTATAACCACAAACTTTAATCTATTTTATTGGGATTTCATACGATAGATTAGCATATAAATAGTGCATAATTGTGTGGAAGGCAAAAATATTTGCACAAATCAGAACCAGTCGACTTCAAAAATCACTTGTGAGGCAGAAAACTCACACTGCACATCACCCTGAACACACCTACCCCACAGTGAAATCTGGTGGTGGCAGCATCATGCTGTGGGAAGCTGACCACAGATGATTGAGTCGAATAAATAAGGAGAAAACCTATTAGAGTCTTCACCAAGCTTTGGACTGGGGTGGAAGTTCAGCTTCTAGCTGGCGATCACCAACATGTCATGTGTCAAAATGGTCCTGTCAAAGTCCAGAGGTAAATCTGTATGAAGGACTTGAAAACAGATGTCCACAGATATTCTCTTCTGATTGAGTTTGAGCATTTTAGATAAGAAAACTGTGCAGGATATCTTTACTCAGGATATGCACAGCTGCACAATCATGTGCTACTTTGTGTTACTCTGTCATGTATAATCCCAATAAACTGCAATTAATTTTGCGGTTGTAAGATGACAAAAGTTTAAAAGGTCTAAGTGGAATGAATGAATGAATGCAAGGGATTATTTCAGAAAGCAGCACAGACTGGTTAAACGTTTCAGAGGTCTGATTAACAGCTTGATAGCTCTGTTTGTAGCAAACGTCATTACCGTAACATCAAAAACACAGATGGCAAACTGTTGCAAGTGTCCATAGAAACAGCCGAAAGGATGCTAAAAGATAACTGGAATGGATTAAGATACATCATGCGTCTAATTCACGTCATCACTGTGGTGACAGTTCTCGTATCAAACTGACAAATCAGGAAAAGTCAGGTTTTGGTGAGTGACTCAAAGAACAAGTTGCTTTTGTGTATTTGTGCATAATCACATGGCCAGTTAAAGCAAGATCTCCAATCAAATTATAAAGTCTTAGGTGTGAAATTAAAAGTGCAATTCATGAATCAAGAAAGTCACCCATGGGGCACCGCTACAACACACTTTCAAAAGGACAGAGATCATTTTTTTCAGTGACACCCATAGAGCTACAGTAGTACTCTGACATCACCAAAACCATCACGGAAAGTAACCATTTGTAAAACAAACATTCAGGGATTTAAATGGAAGCAACATGGAGTGACAAAGAGGTGATGGGGACACAAAGTGTTTCTTCTTGGGCCGTTACATGCATTTACACATGAACACACACACATACACACACAGACCGTTTACATCACCTCAACCTCATCACAGCCACAGACGCAGGTAGCTTCCAGTAAAAACCTCACAAGGAATAAACGCCTCGCATCCCCTCTCCTCAGAGATGCAGAGGTGATGAGCATGAATCTCCCGGATGCCGATCCAGAGTTCATTCATAATGATCGAGTTCTGATAGACACCCGCTCACTCTGTGCTCTCCAGTCCCACTTCCACCTCGTCTTCGCCAAGTACGGCTTCGGGAACGCCACCTTCCCCCTGGAAGAGCTCCTCCATCAGCTGCTCTCCGGCGCTGCCGGCCCGCGACGCCCACAGAGCGGCGCCCTCCCGCAGGCCCAGCGAACGCAGCAGCCGTGCAAAGTCCAGAAACGCAGCCTCGATGAGTTTATGTGCAGCGACGGGTTAAGGAGGACACAGCACTACGTGCAAACACTCGAGGAAATTCTAAGGCACTCGTAAAGAGTGGTGTTTCAATATGTATAAACTGGCCTAAACAAACAAAAACAAAAAGCGACCTAAGCATCATTGAGACCCAATGAGTGCTGTAGTGAGATTTCAAAAAAAGGATATTGGAAGAGTCATTGGCCTCCATTACCCCAGATTTCAAACAAGCCTCAATGAAGAGGGCGGCGCGATCAAAGTACCTCATACTGCCAAGGCAGGTGGAAAAGAAAAGAAAAGAAAGACACAGAAGGAGGTTAGAACATTAGCCATAAACCAATGCTTCACGTGTGATTATGAAGCATTCATCAACTCTGAGCAGCTCTTGCTCAGAAACCTGAGCAAAAGCTGTGGGGAAGGCAGAGTGGTACCAGCATTAGATTGATCAAAGGTACAGGGCAAGTCGCATCCTCAATACACAAATTTAGAGATTTTGATTTTAAAATCACAAGATGAAAATAAATCCAATTATAAAAAGCCTGACAACCTTTTTAAAAACTGAATCAAGCTCGTTTATCAAATATTATATAAAAAGGTTTTAAATAATATTCTTATCGCATGTAATTCATTTAAATAACTACAAATAGATACTTATTTAAATCAATTCTCTCACCTGTGCAGCATCTCTCCCACTTTGTAAAAGCAGCCCAGGGACAGCAGCACCAGGATGGCTTTGGATTTCTGGTTGACCTGAGGGGAGCACAGGTGCTCTGCCCAGCGCTTCAGCACGTCGGAGCCTTCTGCTGGGCTCAGGCGCACCTGGAAACCCAGAGATTCACACCGTCAGACAACAGGCAAATGTAGTGGGTCTTCTTCCGTCGACCCACTACATCAGCCTCCGATCCCAGAACTGCTGAGTTACCTTAGCGAGCCACGCCGCTCGGTTCCACTCCCCGTAGGTCTGCAGGTAGCGGCAGGCGTCCGCCGCCTTGTCAATCAGACACAACAACTGGACTCCCTCTGCAACAAAGTCAAAACAGTCCACAGATATGTGTTAAGAAGAGACAAACCGCTGAGACTCACACTTTCTGCATTTGGCTCATTTAAACTGACAAAGCAGATAACAGGTTGTGATAATTACCTGCCAGTTTGCCATTAGCAATCATATTGGTGGCCACTAGCTTGATTGTAGACTGTGAAGGGCCCGAGGAGGTGATGGTGGTCACTAGGCAGGCTTTGAGTGAATCGCAGTAGTAGCTGGGGTTATCTGCACTCGTCTCCAGCAGCAACTGCACCGCCCGGTCGGTCTGAGAGACATAAGACAACACCTGAGGCAGGCAAGCACTGGGAACTGTGAGCGGTAACAATTTTAATCTGGTGTACACACTCAGGAAGGTCATGCTGGGTTGTGGACAGGCCTCTCTGCGCCAGATTATGATCCATTTACAATTAATCTGAGTGTATGCACGGTTGAGAAGTGGAACGCTGTTCTTTAAAGCTGGATTAAAACAAAACGGATCAGGCCTCACGTTGCAAACTATGTGAGAATTTAGAATCTAGATTCAGAAACTTTGCAATAGGAATCCTTAATGGCTCTCGCACAAAAATGAAGTCTGAGAACCGCTGGTTTAGGTGATGGGATGGTGTTGTACCTACCTGACCCAGCAGGAGGAGCTGGTCAGCACATTTCTTGGTGTGTTCATAACTGGACCTCTTCACCTCCTGCAAGTGAACTCGATCCAGCTGGAACTTCTGTTGAGTGAATCAAGTGGAGAAGATGACTTCCAAATATTAATGTTAAAACACTTATGAGTCGGAGAAATGTGACGAAATGAGTCATGAACTGAGTGAGACAACAGAGGAAACTACAGCACTTTGCAGAAAAACATAAGTCTGTAACGTTTTAACATTTTGATACTTCATAATCACAAACTTTATTGTCTTTCAGCTGGATTTGGGATCTTTTCTCAGTGGAAGATGAAGAAACAAGTAAAACTACCTGACGTGCCTCTCTTTCTACTGACCTGGAAGTAAGAACTCTCGCACAAAATGTCGTGGCAAATGTCCAGGTGGTTCTGAGACGGCGGCTGGGTTTCTTCACTCCCCCCTTCAGAGGTCACGCTTAGCTGACGAGCCTGGGCAAACAGCTGCAGGTAGTGGGACGCCACTGTCCAGAAGTTAAGGTCGGACTCATCCCCGAACAACCTAGAGTCAACCACAACATGTCAGACACGTTCAGGAGAGGAAAATCTCTCTCTGAAGGATTCTTCTGTTTTACAAGGAACTTTATTTTCTTAGTAATATGCTCACTAATGATTTGAGCTCCTATAACTTTTAATTTTCTTTAACTTATTCGTCCTTTAGCATCATTTAACATAGTGCAATCTGAAGATTAACAAAGACTTTACAAAGAAGGAGAACCCACCGTGACACCAGGAGGCAGCGCTGCAGAAGACTCAGCTCCGAGTCCTGAAGCACGCTCTTCATATCGCTGAAAAACCACACAGACATTCAGCAGAACCAGAGAGGCTGTTTTTATCTTCCAGACCACAGAGTACACGCTGCTTTTGCGGCTGCAGCTTAGAACTAATTTAACCTGAAAGGCAAAACTTCATTTACCAAAAAATCTTCCTGCAGTACATATTGATAGAAAGATACAAACATGTGAATCTGAGTATTTGAATTCTAACTTTCAGGCTACAGGTCCAAGTGTTAAAACTCTCATTGGCATGAATGTCACGTCAATGTTTGTCCTTTCTGTATGCATTGGAGCCTCTCGCTTGTTTTTGGTGCCTGATGTTAAACTTTTTTATGGCTTTTCTATAATCGTACATACTTAAATGTGCACACACACACACATACACAACGATAGAGGAAACACAAACTGTTTTGTTGCCAAAAATAAGTTTCTGGCCGGATTCTGTGTGGATATCTGAATAGTCGTCTTGGCAGGACTGACCGCTAAATAACAGACTTGGCTTTAAAGTCCAGTCCAGTCAGAATTAGTCCAGAAACTTGTTGATCTTGATAAAGCACATCCATCCAAATGTTAGGGAGGCTGTATGTATATTTTTAAGCCAAGTTCAGCACCAAGTTCTTGTTCTTAAAAACAATTTAGGTCACTTTTTGCATAACCAGTCGACCCAAAAAAACAAACCAATAAAAGCACAAAATTATGGACATATAGTGTTTGCAACTTTGAGCCAAAAGTTAAATAGTCTAGTATGTTAGCAATTGTACGAGCCTTTAAAATCCACCAAAAGGACACATGAAACTTACTTTGACAGCGAGTTGAGCTGCTCCTGGATCAGGCCTTTAATCTCCACTTTTTCATTGTAATCTCTAAAGTGGGGAGATCAAAGAAAGGAAAATGGCTATCTTGGTGTTTTTCTGAGGTTAAATGTTGCATAATCAGAATGAACGGAAACCTGACAGTGGAGTCGATTACAATCAAAGACTAATAGATATGCTGAGGTCAAGTAGTTCCCTGATTCATCTGTGAATAATAAAACTGAAACGTAATGATGCACTCAGCACTTAGGAAACTGCCAAAGGGGGGAAAAAAGAAAGAAATAAATTCAGTTGGACTTTATGCTGACATGTAAGCTTTTTTTAATGATCAGATTAAATTCTAAGAAAATTTCTTCTTAATCCGAATTATATTTTCCCTTTTTATTTTGATGAAAATGCTACCATTACAGCTGGAGAATAATTCCAACAAACTAAAGACGGTGTCAAGTGTGGAGCATTAAAATGGAGGACAATACCAATTTAAAACAAAGTTGAACCAAAACAAGTAGAAATCATTTTCTTCTCTGAGTTTACATCAGTGGTTTCCAAACGTTTTACCACCAGGGCCCAAAACCTTCTACTTGAAAGTTATTGGTGGATCCACAAAAATTATGCTTGTTCTGCTATTATCTGCTCAATAATAAACTAAATGGCTACATTAAATAGCTACATGTCATTATACGACTTTCTTTTTGGTGTCTTCCACCCATGTTTGTTTTTGTGTAAGAGTGGATGTTTGCGCTGCGGAAACCTAAGAAATACTTTGTGTTGTGGCTAACAATTTATTTGAAGATTCAATTTCTCTGTGAAAATGTCCTCCTAAAACATAAAAGTAGTGTCTATTTGCATATTGCTAGTGATTGCAGTCAAAATTGCTTTATTATAGAATCATGGGTTGCAGAAAATTACTTAGAGGGCTGTAAATGACATTCCTGATTTATATGATGATGATGATGATGATGATGATAGTGTATTCAGCCACAGAGACTTACACCTGAGTGATGTCCATAGTGAAGGTCCCTGACCAGGGCTGCAGGAGAAGGAAAGCCTTAAGAGTGAGGGCAGCCCGGGGTAGCAGCAGGGAAGGACACCACACCGGGTCTGTGAGAAAAAGGAAGGAGATGTTAATCCATTAACACACCAGAATGTGACACAGTGTGAAGTGCAGCTGGGTCCTGAATGACCAAATCCTCCTTTTAAACATTTCAACTTCACTTCTTCCCTTAGCGTTTGCCTTCCTCACCAGTCAGGTCCTGCTCATCCATGCGGTAACTGGCCGACTTCATGGCCATCTCCAACACTCGGACGCAGCCGTCGTCCGAAGCCAACACAACTTTATCTGATGTGCACCAGTCGATGTCGAGGATGCGGTAGTTCACATTGCGTCCAAACCTCATACTGCTGACCATTTGGACCTTAAAAGAATTAGAAACACAAATATCAAATGCATTTTTAATTCATTAAGAATACATTAAAATGTTATTTATTTAACCGCTTTCACATTTGTAGCTTTTTTTTTTTTTTTTTTTTTTTTTTTTTTAATAAAATAATTTTACTTTTAGAATTTTTTTTTAAAAATCAG